ATGGACCGCATACACACATAGAGTGACCGATAGGATACATTAGACCTCCAACACATGGAGTATTATAACATATAGTGACCATTAGTAACTGATACAATGGACCTCATAGATACAGTGACCAGTGATACAGTGTAGCTTCTTTCCAGAATCCAGAACATTGCTTGACTCGTAAATAAATTACATGTATTAGAATGTTAACATTTATTCTGATATAGGTTATAGCGCGGGTCTAGTTGAATACCCATGGTTATAGCAAAAGGAAATACTTTAAAATAATTTGTACTTTATCCTTAAAGCATATTTTTGCAGTATTGTCATAAGCTGGCTTCCAGCTCATTACATTTGCAAAGGCTATAACTAACATTATTCTAAAGTATGAAATAGATATTATTCCCATAATAACATTATTCTAAAGTATGAAATAGATATTATTCCCATAATAACATTATTCTAAAGTATGAAATAGATATTATTCCCATAATAACATTATTCTAAAGTATGAAATAGATATTATTCCCATAATAACATTATTCTAAAGTATGAAATAGATATTATTCCCATAATAACATTATTCTAAAGTATGAAATAGATATTATTCCCATAATAACATTATTCTAAAGTATGAAATAGATATTATTCCCAACGTTTAGATGTCACCCTAGGTCTTTGGGTAGAGAATGGTTTTTGATTTCAATAGTACTGTGTGCAAGCTTTAAAGTTATGCTTTACTAGACAAAAATAATTGTACATATCAATTCACTGGCTGATCAAAGAATCATTAGGCTTTGTGAGAAAAAGAAATTTTGAAAAATTGGATTAATGGCAACTGTCTTGGTTGCTTTTATGTAGTTACAAACCCGAGACACAATAAATGATAGGCTTTCAAGAGATATATGTCACAAAGTAACCCTAGGCAGTAACAAGGCAGCCATGATGCATTTTATATATTTTTTTATTTTTTAGGGTCACCTATTTTACAAAAATAGCTAGCCCTTACTGGGACATGTGATGCAATTATCATTATAGATAAACCGGTATGTGTTATATACATGTACACAATTTAAATAGTTCACAACTAATTTTTTACTGACCTTTTGTAATGAAAAATTGTAAATGACCCATTGTCTGTTATGTGAAATATCATAAGCTTGGCAGTCAAATGTGTTTTTCCAGAGTTCTTTGTTATGCCCTGCATGTCTTTATGATTCTTGTATTTGTGCATAATCCTGAAAAAGACAAAACATTAGATGGAGCACTATAAACAAAATAAATATGACACAGAGGTTTAACTGACAATAGACAAGTTTTGATTACTATGAATGGTACAAACTGAAAATAAACAAAGGGTACAACTGGATATGTCAAACCTATTTCATACAAATTAATTTTTCCTCTGTTGCCATGCGCCAGTTTTCATGAAGAGCCCCAAATAGTTTGTATAATCAAGGGAGGTAAGTCAAAATGTGTCAATTTTGCCAAAGACTGACAGAATTTATTTGATCTTACTCAGGTATTGTGCAATATAATTGTATCCATGAATTTACTGAAAATGAAAAACAAGATTGCATCAACTTTGCAAAGGAGTGGCATCAGTATGTTGAACTTTTTTAACATACAATCCTCTTAAACCAGTCAACAAAACATTCTGAAAATTTTACACATCGTCAATTTTATGGTCATCTTTTGGATGGTAACATTTTAATTTGAAATATATATATATATCCTTTTCTCTATATTGTTTTAGAAAACACATCAGACACTTTTTTTGTTCTTGGTATCATATGTGTGGAATGAAATGAAACATCTATCCGAACCTCATTGGAACAAAATGATATAAACACAACGTGTTTAGGTCTCTCAATATTGTAATTGTACAAAGGAAAGTTTGGTTTATTTTAAGAAAGTATCCTGTTAATGAAATAAAATGTTTATCTTAATTTTTATCTATTTTGGGGGGTTTTGTTTTAAGTTTTTGCATACTTTTTGTTAAATCAACCAAAATTTCCCTTTGTATAACTGTAATATTGAGAGGTCTAAGAAAATGTTGTATATGCTATTTTGTTCCAACAAGGTTCAGAAAGACCTTTTATTTCATTCTCAAGAATTAGTAGAAAGGAACAAAAAACAATTGCACTAAAAATCAAAAAATGTTAACAAAAGCAGTTTATAAGTTTATAAGTAATTTTCCGTCCTAGGCAGACATTGCCTGTATGACAGTTCTGATACTTTTTGAAACTAACGTAGCTTGGGGGCTACTTGTACGCCAGCAATTTCGTAATTGAATTTTAAAGGATGGTGATACCAATGTGCATCTAGGCGGTTCTTGAACTGGTTGACATGGACTGACTGCACTACGTACTCTGGGAGACTGTTCCAATTGTTTGTTACCCTGTGGCTGAAAGTGTTTTGTCTCATTGAGGTTTTGCAGTGGGCTTTTAGGAGTGGTTGGGAATTTCCTCTTCTATTGTGTGTTTCTCTTGCTTGGAAATTAGGTAATGTTGCTGTTGTGATGACATCATAGTATGAGTTGATGTATTTGAACGTCTCTATCATATCACCACGTAGTCGTCTGTAGGCAAGTGTTGTAAGGTCTAGTGCCTTTAGTCTCTGGGGGTAGGGTAGAGCTTTAAGTGTTGGAACTATACGCGTTGCTCTTCTTTGTATTTTCTCTAGGGCTTCTATATCCTTCTTCATGTAGGGATTCCACACTGATTGTGCAAACTCAAGTTTGGGTCTGACTAAGCCATTGAATAGTAATTTAAATGTATCAGTGTCCCAGTATGTAAAAGATCTTTTTACCATTCCAAGCACTTTGTTTGCATTGTTTGCTATGGTTTTGACATGGTTACTGAATTTGAGATTCGTATCCATATAAACTCCAAGATCTCTTTCACAGTTACTATGTCTAATTGTAGATTTCTGGTCTGAGTTGTTGTCTTTCATCAGGTAGTCGAAATTCCTGTTACTTCTTCCAATATGTAGTACGCCACATTTTTTAGTATTGAATTTTAATTGCCAATCTTGAGTCCATTTTTGAACATTGTCAATATCCCTCTGTAGTAAAGTTTGATCATCTATGTAGTTAACTTTTCTATGGAGTTTAGTATCGTCAGCGAACAGGCTTATATTACTGTGTTTAACAACGTTTGGCATGTCGTTGACATACAGTAGGTAGATCAAAGGTCCAATTACAGATCCCTGAGCTATTCCTGACCGTACAGGGGTCCATGGTGCTGATATGTAGTTGTATAAAATATATATAAATAATTTTTGCATTAAATTGTTGCCAATCAGTCAACATTACATAAAGGACCATGTGTTTTTACAGAATGTTTTCAATAATTGGTTTAGGAGAAAAACATTGTTGAATTCAGTTCACCATATCAATACCAATCCTTTCAACTTTTTGAAGATGTTCAATGTTTTCAATTCCCAAATATTTCTAAAATTGCCAATTTTGAATTATATGTATTATTTGTTTGAACATTTATAAATCTATATTAATATATTTGGCATGAACAAGTGCAAACCTAAAATGTGTAAATCTATTTCAGCTAATATTTAAGAATGTACAGTTATAACTTATAATTGCATTATTGAGAGATTGGCTCAAAATGATTTCTCAGATGACCCTATTTGACTATTTCAACCTTGAAGTCGGCATCATCTTCGTGAAGATTTTTAAGAATTATTATGATACATACCCTTACTTTTGGTTAAGAAAGCTTTTTCATTCATTGGACGTAGGACTTCGCATATGAGCTGTTGTGTTATGTTGGTATGCTGTTCACTTTTGTAGTTTTGAATAACTGCTCAGCTTCCCGATTGGCAAAACAACACCTGATGCTATAAATCAGAGAAGACAGTTTGTTGGCCATTAGAGACATCATATACAGAAAATCCAAATTAAAATTCAATATCAAAATAAAAGAAAATTAACGTGAATATCTTTTACATTTATTCACCCCAGCCTAGGCCATATACTGATTATGCACATTCAAAGATTTGCATGAAACTACCCCACATGGGGATTATCAGGAATTTGACACTGAGTATTGTCCCAAGTGGTAGAATTTTGACATGGTTATCTCCCAGGAAGGACTATTGAAATGCATATTTTCTGTAATCAGAATTTTGACTGTATTTGACCAGCTATTATTCTTTCCAGGTGGGGAACCTAGTTTTGATTTTTCAAAATCCCATCCCAAACCTTTGAATAGTAACTGAATAATGTTAGGCTATTTCATAACAGTTCATCAAGTATGCTGTTGATGGTTTATATACTATAATATAATATTACCACTAAATAATAAATGAAGGTATAGGTGTTAACGTAATCAAATCAATGCTCCCCATGTATTCCCATGTCCAAATATGAAATATCAATGATTGTTTGTGACAAATAAAATATTCATAATAAATTGATTATTTCAGAATTAATTTCATAATCATTCATATAAATTTTGCTATAAATTACTTTCATATTTACAAAAAAACTGTAAATGATTACATTTAGAATGTATGGCTTAATGCAGCTATTACTATTAAGTATGAATCGAACATGTCATGATGTTAACACCTTTCTATTAAAATAATATAATGAAATAAACAGATATGGCCACTTCATTAACACAACTAATTTAAGTCAAAATGGAAGTGAGTTTTTAGGATTACTTTATATATTTGAAGAAATTGGTGTTTATGAATAAGAAAAAAAGTAGAGCGTTAGCTACTTGCAAGGTGGATTACCATGAGTATGTCACTCTCTGTTGTGCGAAAGAAGCAATGAGTACCAAAATGAGCTGTATGAAAAAAACAGATCCAAAAAGTAACAAATTAACACTTAACGTGCTTGCATAATATAAGAGCTCTTGAAGCCTCTTATATGATTTCAAGAACAATTGAGCTTCTGGATATTTTCAATATGCAGGCTGGTTGTTGAATGCAATTTACTAAACCCGCCATTGGAATCTAATACAAATATATTGTGCACTTAAATCAGCTCAACCAATAACAAAGAACTTCTCTAGCCGCTATAATGTTTGCACTGTGGTCACATGACTAGGTTGCTAAGAGCGATATGATGCTAAGCCATGTGTTGACAACCTGGCTTATTGGAGAAAGTTAGCCATAATACCGAAAGGAACCTTAATCTGCGCTTCATATTTTTGGAATTCTTTCCACTTTTGGAGGTAAGTATCTTTAATATACAAACACACTTAGGTTAATGTTATAGATATAAGTATAAGGCTACAGATAAGATAGAAAAAATATAGGTAGGAGTAATTTATTTCAACTAATGATGAGAATAATATATGTTGCTAGATCAGTACTGTTAAATCTAATGTACTGTATTACATATTGAACTGTTAAGGACACTGAAATCTACTGTACTTGCCTTGGAATACTAAAATAGTCATGGGTAATTAAAAAATACTATTCATTAAAAACTAGATTGGACATATTTACTTGGTAAGTCAGTCACCATTGGTGATAGGCTGTGTGTACTGTGTAGCATAGTCACAGATTCACTGTTAGAAGTGGTTACTATCTCAAAGTTCAAGTACTTGAAACGTCAACATATATCCTTTTAATATTTCATATGAGTTAATGAATGAAAGATTCAGAATTATACAGGTCTATCATATAGGTGGTCTATTTTGAAAGCGCTTGTCTAAAACTTGGCAATCTAGGAGTATGAAAAATAAAAATTTGGTATGTTCATTTAGAGTCAAAGATAACCTTCTTAATACATCAACATTTAATGGAGAACTGTATTCACTTTATGTTTTAAGTTAATACTCAAAATAAAAGATACATTTCACAACATTTAGAACTACCTTAGATATGTCATCAAACATTGATAAAGCAACAAAGCCAAAACAACACTAGACCCAATCTTTTCAAAATAAGACAAAAAATTCATTAATTAAGTTTCTATTATTAAAGTTAAGATAACATATTATTATATACCTTCTGTAAATAAATGTACAACCTTAATCAATGTCTTTATTTTATTTCATCTAAAATCATATTGATAATATGTTACAGTGAATTTTGAAGACTATTATATTTCATGAGAGGGTTGTTCAAAGTGACCTGACTGCATGACAACATTTCTTAAAAGGTCACTTTGTTCCCTTTTATTCCATTCCAATTTTCCTCTAAAAATGAATCTCATGACTTTCTGCTATTCTTCATAATTTAAAGTGCTATCGAGTCTGTAAAGTCTGTTTATTTTAATTCTTGCTAATTCCATTCTTTTCCAGTTTTTTGCTTATAAAACAGAACCTTATTTATCTATGTTGATCACTGGACATAAATCATGTTTTGAAGGTATAAAAGGCCAGTCAACCATTTGATTCTATAGCCTAAAGAATAATTTGAATGACATTAGTTTAATTTATAAACCAATAAATTTAAAATAAACAAGTAACATTGGTCCAGTACCTACTGTAAAACATAAAATAAAATGTTTATGCTTACATGAATTAAATAAACAAATAAATAGATTTAATCTTAAATTTAATTACTGAGAAAGGTAATCAATAGAAAATAAACATTGGGAGGGCCATAACTGTCATTGAAATATTTTGATTTAAACAATAAGTTCTTGCCTAAATCAGAAAACACATTTTAAAAAGTGACAAATGTTAATCTAAATCAACCAATTAAGCGAATGAAATCTCCGGTGCTCAAGTCATAACAAAACAGTTACTGTAATATCAATATGTAGAAAAATAGAATCACTTTTCGAGTTAATTTATACATCATTATTTATTGAACAATGTGTAACCAGGATACCAGTGTATCAAATAAATAATTAAAGAACTTGATAGAAACTCTTTATAAGTAATTAATGAACCTGTATTAGTTTTCCCAATGACAAGATAACACCCAATTTATTTTTATTTCTCTCATTTCTTGCTTTTGGAGGAATTATGAGATTTCTCACTAATTTAATAATGCCTTAATTCCTCAATAAATCAACTTTTCTTTTTTATTTGCACTTTAAAACCTCACCATAAGAATATTGTATTTTATATTCTGGTTATTTACATGGCATGTCATACTGATACACAGACAGGAATTGATTCCATGAGTTCTTTTGTCAACTAGGTACATTAATGAATGAAGAAGGTACCTGTCTGCAGTTCCATTTGGGTTATCATTCAGCTCTTTTCAGGACCAATGGATTATAACTGTGCATCACGCAACATTTCATTTAACAATAGGCCCGTGTTTTATCTGAAAAAAATATAAATAATTGTCATGAGTTTTCAAAAAAAAACTGAAAAAATTACAAATCAAATTAAGATACATAGAAAAAATAAATGAGATAAGTCCTACAATGTACTCTTTCATACCTTAAAGTTCAGAAATGTAATTGCCCTTGTGTAGACCAGACTCTCATCGAGAGACAAAGTCAAATTATTGAAAATGGTACTCTTTTAACAACTAACCATTTTACATAAAGACTCAAGACTGTCAGTAGAAATACATTACACATAGTCAGAAACATATTGTAGCTCATAGATTGAAATCCTAATTTTGCTTTGACATCAGAAAAGAAAATGTTTCATTGAACTTCCTGAAAATGTTATCATTCTATCTATCAGCATTCAGTAATGGTTGCTATCAACAAGTATCTGAGATAGTCACCTGTCAAATGACCATCAATAATAAACTTCATGGGTTTACAATAATCCAAATTTTATACACCCCTGTAGTCATGAAAATCATGTTGACTTGGCATTGAGTAACTTTTTATCATAAAGAATATGGATAGAGAGCCTTTATAGAACTTTGATTTAATACTCGCCATAGGCCAATCTAAAACCTATAGTACTACAATATACTAATCCATACTTAGCAAATCCGATCAAATAAAATCACAATATAGATTAAGCTCCATGTAACTTGCTTAATAAATTTATAAATCCAATAATCCATTGTCGGAAGCTATTGAACAGTATTGTATGAAATGTATTCATTGGTGTTTAACGCAAAGGATTGTGGGTAGGTTGCTATGGAGCCAAACATGTGTATTGGGAATATAAAGTTGATTGAGTCTGAACATTGACAATCACACATAGATCAAAAGGAGAGTAAATACATTCAGGAGGTAAGGCAAAAAATCTATTACTTTGAATAGTGTTAACATTGTAGATACAACTAAAGAACATTGTTAGTCTATATTATATGTATCAAAGCTGAATGACAATTGTTAAGATGAATTGATCAAATTTCAAAAAAACTTCAATTGACATGGACAATTCAGTAAAAAAACTTTTAGACAGTCAATGAATAATATAAATAAAACTTGTTCAATACAAATTAATTTTAAAATGAACATTCAATGAAAATGACATTAAAATATTTGTAAAATTCCAAAAGGAGCAATCTGAATAAACTTTTATTCGGAATCTATTCCAAATGGTATTTTAATTCAACCTGTGGTCTAACTGAACAGCTATGTTATTAAACCTGAGAAAACTTGAGAAGTTTTCAAATATTTGATGTTGACCAAACTGATTGAAAATGTTATCAAATTTATTTCATATGATACCTTTAATAGTTTACACATACAATAAAATTAACTTCAACAGTAGTTGTTCAATGCCATAGTGACAGTTTAATTCTTGAAATGCTTCTCGCAACCACTATTGAAAAGTACATGTATATTTACTTACCGATAATCTTGTAACTGCTGTCTGGTTTTGGTGGATACCAACACATTATTACTCTAATTTATCCTTTCTCAAAGTTAAGACTCCTGAAGTTAGATAAAGTTAGATACAGTTTAAAGATTTACAAATCTGACACACATCAGGTATTACTTCCTGCGAAAGCTATTTGGATTTTGATATAATAGCTTTCCCACGGAGCATTTGGACAGCTCAATGATCGTGACCTTTGAAATCGAAGTAAGTCGATCCGCGGCTTACTTTTGGTCTCTAACTGTGTCTTACATCAGTATCATCAATCCGTGTAAGTATTGGAGCGCTGGAGTACTTCTTTTTCGATCAAGACTTGTAATTGTTAGTCGAGTGAATCGTTTTACTGCCAAATTCCAATATGGCGGTTTCTGCTCGGACATTTTCGTAAATCTCTGGAGGTTGTCCGAACCTAACTAATTCTCAAAATTCATTTCGTTCGTTGCGTATCTCGCACCTAGCAAACCACCATATTGGAATAGGTCTGTAAAACTTTAACTCGATGAACAATTTACAAGTCTTGATCGAAAAAGAAGTACTCCAGCGCTCCAATACTTACACGGATTGATGATACTGATGTAAGACACAGTTAGAGACCAAAAGTAAGCCGCGGATCGACTTAATTCAATTTCAAAGGTCACTATTGATCAGCTGTTCACTTCTCCGTTTGAGAGCCATAAGTTTCAAAATCTAACATGGCTCTCGAAGTGAGTAAATCAGGTACACATTCAACTTGAACTTCAATTAGGATGGGCATGAAGAAAATGGATTAATCAAATCTAAATGAATGCAATTGCAATTCTAGACTGAATATTTGTGTCAGAATACTGAAACTGAATGAAGTGAAAATAGAAACAAAATTGAAATTTTATAAGCAGTCTTATTGAGGATCTAATGGTGACGGGGTCACTTATCATTTCCCATTGAAGACATAACAGTAATCATAAATTGTATACGTTGTGGGAGTGACTTTAGTACAGTCTTATTTAACTCAAAATAAACAAAAACAGTGAAAAACGAAAAAGATTTGAAAAAGATTTTTACCTGAATTTTATTGTCTCCGCTTATGAAGAGCGGCCGCGAAATGCATTTCGGGAAGAAAAAGTTTTTGGAAGTCTGTCTGGAAGTGTGTCTTTTAAAATCATATAATACTGCTAACCTATTAGACATCTATTTAGCGTATGATTTAACAGAAAGTAAGTATATCAAGGATGCCAAAGAACTCTTGTATAGCGCTTGAACATCAACCTCAAAACAAATTTCGGATAATAATGATTTACGTTTTACACCGGAAATAGTTTCAAATGAAAAGTTGATTTATAAACAAATCATGAAAGTGAAACAACATGTATTCGCTTGGCTCTGATCCGCTGCTTTGATAAGTTGCACAGTCATAGGGGTGCGATTTTTTGAGTTTTCATCACTGCGAGCGATCAGCAAGCCCCAAAAAGCTCCACTAAAAGGGGTGTACAGGAGTTCACACTCAGGATTTTTTAAAAATTTACATCGTATATCTAGTCTGTTGTGCATTCTAAGCATTTCAAACTCAAATTTGTTTATGTTTTCCAACAAATTTTACCAAGTTGCTTTTTTCCTTTTTGTGGGGGCAGTTCCGATATTGCCCCCATCCCCTGTCTGTCCTTTTATATGATTAGGAATGGTAAATAATCACAATGTGCACCCCCGCATTACAAATACAACATTATGATATAGAAGAGGAAAAGAGCTTTTTTAATTTTTTTTGCGACTGAAAGCTGGCTACGCCCCTGCATAGAGCCTGTACTAAAATATTAAGTGACAAGTTATCAACAGAGAAATAATTTGAAAATGACTATCAATGTAAAGTATGAATGATTAGACTTTAGTGGTTGCATAGAAATAAATTTCTGAGTTTATTTTACAATGTTTACAATGTCCTTTGTCAGGTATTGATAGTACTTTCTGACTATTGACAATTGGATCAATAGCAGTTCAGTGGAACCACAAATATACGTCATCAGACCATTATTAAGTTATGTGACTCAAAAGTGTCACAAAAAATAATAGAATATAATCTGTTCCAGAAGTGACCATAGCATGCACATCATATAACATTTTAAACTAACATAAAACTTTATCACAATGACTTATTTTAAGCCAAAATTCAAGGTGCCTAATGTAAACATTGGATATTGATCTATGTAAATACAATACTCTCTACTCCCTTTCTATTCACAATCTACAAAAGTCTGGTTCTTGAGTAGTTGCTATGCGATGATAAACATACAATAGATCTAGTTTAACTTATTGCTTGACGTGTAGAAAATTATCAGTATAGCTTAAGTACAGGAGTTGTTCACACCTAAGGTAATTAGTAATTTGTAATTAAGACATGAGATTAATCACTTATGTAAAACAAATAATTACATGGAGTATAGTTAATTTTAATAGTCATATCAACTTTCACTTTTCGAGACTAAATAAGATGTTCTTATAATAAGTGAAAACAAAAATCAGGTATAAGAATAAAAGCCATGGGAGTTTCATTAAAAGCAAGATGTTTTCGTTTATAACGTTTTATCTATAACATGTAACACTAAACAATAAATTAAAATATTTATTTGAGAAGAAAAGTTAATAAGGTTGTAATTTAATAATTGTATTTTGTTATCATCTATTTTTGTTTAGTAAGATGTGACATAATATGATTTAACAAAAAAAACTTAAGTTATAAAGTAAATAAGGTTGTTGTTCAATTTAATTATAATCTATACATGTTTTTATTTATTTTGATATTTTACAATTAAACACAAACAAAGTTTTTATACATAAATTTAATTATTATTTATTTATATTTACAGGCCAGTTAACAACATCCTCTAACCATGGAATTTCTAGGACACACTCAGACAGCTTCCTATATGACAGGACCCCGCATGGGGGGTAGCGGAAACCCAACATTCCTGCCATCTATCAGCACAATGCAGTCATCATACAAACCATACGATACATACCCCGCTCCTTCCCCCCTCAGGCGCTCACTGACAACTATGCCCTGGAGACCAAGCACCTATTACCAGACCGCCAAAGTCAACCCCAGTTCTGCTGTTACAAAAAGTATGCCCGAACCACTTTCAACCACTAACAGATTGTCCGAGTTAGACAGTATTAAAGTCCCCCCAGTATTTGCTGCTGCCAGAAACGCCCTTTACACAAGGTACACTCCTAATGATTGGATGCGATCCAACTCTGCTAACTACCAAGCCTCAGACCGTGTCCGTAGTGGAGCTGAGAGGCTACGATTTGATACTGCTAGACTTTGTAGAGAAACTGATGAAAAAACAAAGAGAGCACAAGCCGATGTTGGCAAAAAATTAGGAGAACGTATCGGGGACATTCAATTCTGGAAAACAGAAGTTTGTAACGAAACAGACAATATGATCACAGAAATAAATGCTCTAAATGAAGCCAAGAGAATAATGGAAAAATCACTAGCTGAAACAGAAAACCCACTTCACATAGCTAAAGAGTGTTTATACAACAGAGAAAAGCGTCAAGGGATAGATTTAGTCCACGACAATGTAGAACAGGAATTAATCAGGGTGAGTCTAGACTGTAATCTAAACTTCTCTGTATAAAAACCTCCACTGCTAATTAACCAATAGAGAAATTTCACCTTTGTTTTAGCCTGCTAAATCACTTACATTATGCCAGTGCATTATTGTTGTCATAGTTACAGGCAACACCGAGCTAGCAAATAACCATTTTTCAAGTGATAAATCGAAGACAAGGCATAAAGTGCTATATAAACATTGGTTGCATGGTGATGAATTCAGATTTAATATTATATCTTGTTTTCCATTTATATTGTAATTTATGTGATTTTTGATGACCTTTTTTTCTCTTTTCAGGAAGTCGATGTAATTAAAAGATGCCAAGAAAAAATGAGGCAAACAATTGAGAAGGCTAACATGCAAATTGCGTAAGTATAATCATTAGTATTCTCGATAAAAACAATTAATTAGATATTGTTTCACACATTTGATTTACTTAACAGTTGAAAAATATCTTGAAGCTATTCCAGACCAATCAATTAACAAGTTCCTACGCTCTTGGAATTGATTTTTTAAAGTTGCCTTGGAGACTATCCAGACTATCATCGATAGTTTATTAAGTGTATCCGGTCTTATAGTTATCCAATATCCATAGGGAAATCACTTTTGTTATTTTAAAAAACAATATACTTTGTTGTATTTCTTGTAATTCATACAACTGGAAACATTTTCATTTTTAAACAATTCATGAGTTACAAGTCCTCATTTTAAATACACATGATCAAAACATCAATAGTGTCTGATGATATTAGAATGCAGATTTACTTGATTACATATCAATGAAGTACGTAATGTTCTTATTGGATAATGGTGTGTAAGCAGGCAATGTCTCTTAGACTAAGAGGTTTTGATCAACACTTATTGTTTTCCAATACACTTGTCTACAACTTGTAACATAGAGAAAATCGTTAAAATATCCGCTTTACCATATAAAACATGCTAAGATTGAGACAATTGATTCTATATGAAAATAAGATAGTAATATAATAAATCATATTTAGAAACTCTATTTGTATACAGTCATGTACCTACATGTACATGTAGCTACAAATTAAGATTTTCAGTGAAAACCTTGTTTATTGCATGTACATGTTTTTTACAGTTTTTCAGAATCCTGATTTCTTGGTAACCAAATGTTGTATTATATACATTATATTTTATTCCTATAGCTTAGATAGGGCAGCTCAACATGAGTTGGAGCGAGACCACCAGGATAAACACCAGGCTTCTCAGATTGATGATGTTGCTCACCAAATGCGCAACACATCCAGAGGTTTAGCTTATCATGATGGCATCAACAGAATTGATAACACGTAAGCAGCGATTTACTGCCATGTTGATTGTGGAGTGATTTGCTGCATATGCACTGCTTTGGAAGTAGTTCCAGAGAGCCAATTCAAATTGTCTTTTTTAGCTCACCCTGGTGGATTTTGGATTGATGGATTGCTTTCGCACTGTATATAATAAATAACCCCCTCACATATGTCTGCCAATGCACACACATTGAATCTAACCTTGCACTATTTTCTGTATAGCTTGGACCGTGCTGCACAGCATGAGCTAGAGAAAGACCAAAGTGATAAGCACCGTGCACTGAATTTAGACAACACTTGCCACCAGCTTCGTAACACGTCACGTGGTCTTGCTTACCACGATGGCATCCAAAGAACTGATAATACGTAAGTTTCCATGTACTTAATGCCATAACTCATTTTGTAACATGTCACGTGATTTTGTTTACCACAATGGCATCCAAAGAACCGATAATACACAGGTGTCCATGCCATAACTCTCATTTCGCAACATTTCAAACAATGATAAGATTATGATGGTTATTGTATTAAAAATATAAAAGTCAACAATATATCAGATATGCAAAGGTGAAAAAGGGAAACTTAAAAGCGCTAGTTATGTCCCAACAACAACTATGCATAATTTTTTATTTTCTCTTATAGCGTTTCTGTACCAGAGACCTGGGCTAAATTCAGCAACGACAACATCCAGAGATCACAAAGTGAGCGTGGTGCATCGAAGAATCTTAGGAATGAAATTGAGGCTATCCTCAACCAGTGTGCTAACGATATGTGGCAAGAATGGAACGCTAGCAACGTTGGACTCACACAGAGAATCCAAGAGACCGTTGATGCAAGAAACAAGCTTCAAACTCATCTTTCAAAGGTAAATATCATGCCTACTAACCATTTAAAGCAGATCATTTTTCAACTTTAATATTTTTCCTGAGTTGACTTAAATGATTGATTCAATCATCCTATCATTGTTTAATTATACAACAATCATGTCATATTTTAAGGATTGATTCTACGGGTTCATATTCCTTTGTCGATTTTTTTGTAAATTGTATTTCCCCTCATATTGATTTTTTCTAAAAAGGTCTGTTATATGACCTCTCCTTTTCAAAAAGAAAATTGGTTTGACGTCATGTCACTAGGATCCTTATAGTCTATTGATATTTTTTTTAAATGAGCATTTTATCCTTTGTCTTACAGACTCTTCAAGAGATTTTCGACATGGAGAAGAATATCGAGCTTCTGAAGAAATCCATTCAAGATAAGGAAGCTCCCATGCAGGTGGCCCAGACCAGACTTGACACACGTACACACAGACCAAATGTTGAGTCATGCAGAGACCCAGTTCAACACAGGTAAGCTTGGAAATATTTGAGCACTTCTTAGAAATAAAGATAAGCATTTTAATGAATGACCATTGAGAGATTTTATTGAGAGAGATTGAGATTTTTGATTATCTATCGAGAAATCAAATCTGGAAAATCTGGAATTGACATTGTTCTTATTACAAAGTTTTTTCTCCAGGGAGGGGGCTTTCAAACAATTTAATTCCACAATAAATACTTTATGTTAATGTTGAACTATTTTATGATACATTTCATGATAAATTACAATCGCTGTTTTGTTTTGCAGATTGGTTTCTGAGGTGGGTGAGATTTCCGAAACTGTTGACTCTCTACAGTACAAACTTCGTGAGGCCGAAAATGCCCTGCAACATCTTCTCCGTACAAAGTCTAGTCTTGAACACGACCTCTCTGTCAAAAATAACAGTCTGTTCATTGACCGTGAAAAATGCATGGGAATGCGTAAAACTTTCCCTATGTCACCACGTGTGGCTTCATACTAGACATTTGCTAGAAATTTTGTAATCCAATTTGTTATCACCACTTTCAATATCAATTATCATCTTGGGAATCACTGAGAATATTGATTATTAAGGTATTATAAACAACCAGGCGTGACAGACTGATATCTGATTCATTTTATATATCTCTTAATTGGAGTGGTGAGAACAAACTGGATTGACTTACATAAAAGTATTATTTCACACATCGATGGTGCAATTATTGGGGAATGAATCGAACAGAGACTGAAGAAAGCGAAGAAGTAGCGCAACGCCATCTTTTAAATTATTTTTATATTAAGAATTGATAATGATGAAAACTAGACACTTTAGAAATGACATTTTTCATAATAATCAATGTTGTCGACAATTTTTCATAATTTCCTTAATAAATACTTAAAGTCATTTAACTGTTAGTGAAAAAGTGAAAACACAACTTAGGATGGATTTGTATAATGTATACATTATTGTTAAGAATGATCATAGAATGTAGAATGATAGATTATTATAGATGCCATATGCAGCATACATCTGCATGTATATTATTGTATATTTTTCATATATGTACATTTTTGTATTATATTCATAAAAAATGATGTACATATTTTTGCAACACATGCATGAAGCATGAAATGCTAAAGATTCTCTGATATTATAGATAAATGTTGATCATTTACGGTACAGTATATATGAAATTGCTGATTCCATCCATTCAATTTGTATTTATGTAAACAGTTTGATTTTTGGTTTTTATCTTGTACAGATTGATTTACAGTATTTATATCACAATAAACTCTTATATGCATCAACAAGTACTTGTATTTCTTATTTTTTACATAGTATGTAAGTCAGCTGAAATACCCATTTTAAAAGCTTTACTTTAGTTACACTCACTTAATATTAGAGATCATCCTCCTTATATCCAATTAAAACCTGTATTAAAGAGCAAGAAACTATATTTTCTGCCTATTGGTAATTGACAATTCACATTCAACTCCCATAAAAGCCATGAACTTTACATTTGAGATTACTAAGATGTAAGCGTGAAAACAGTCAAATCAGCTATAATAGTAAGAGGCGTTATCTGTGGTGTCTGTCAAGAGTTCAAATTGTAAATCTCAAGAAATATTACCCATTTTCAGAATGTCACTTTCCTGATTCTAGATAAATCGGTTTTCAAAATTGAGATCATCGGCAAAACCAATTCAAACATTTGAATGCTACCTATTGTGATTTATCTGTAAAATATTGTCCCTGAACACCGAATAGATAAGAGAAAACAACTCCGTTATCTCCAACGAAGGTCAAACTTCATCGTTTACAAACAATTCTTTACAACAGTGACCCGAATAACATATAAACAAACATCACATGACCACAGTTGTTAACAATTATAATTTCGAATGCTCTATTCGGTAATGCTATTTGAGTTTACGCAATTGTAGGAACTGACTTGTGGCCTTGGTAAAATGTCAACAGAAAAGGTAGTTATATCACATTCTTTATATCAGCATAATGGATGCATTAGAATCTGACTGATTTTGATTTTTTGCTATTTTATTTTATATCACTTCAATTTAACAGAGAAACCAGTCGATATTGGTTCACTAGGGGATAACACAACTAAATACTATAACATGCGTATTCCCATACAAACGATCTGTCTTCCAGAGAAAACTAAGATTTGAGAACATATTTTGCTATCATCCCCATCATAACCCAGTATGTCCTCTGTCCGTCAAAAACGTTTTAAACATCATTTCGGGCATCAAAACTCCCCACGAAAATCAAAAGATCTCACCTGTTGAGGACGCCATCTATAGAAAATGTCAAAAATTGTCTTTCTGATTTTGACAGATGGAGGCAGGTCAAATTTTTAAAAGAAAATACACCTTAATCACATCAAATCATGTCTTAGAGTTGGTCTATACATACACTTTTTTGAAATACCATCTATGCCACTCTAGGGGAAGGATGTATTAGTTATGTGTCTCCTAGTATAAAATACTATCTATTTATAAAACAATTGTCGCAATGAGCTGTTGAACATCCAATAACAGATGCGACTCACCTACTTTAATGTGCTGCCAATTTATGATGTTTGTCAATAAATATATAAATTGATGAATCGATACACATAACATATAAAGAACATTAGTTTGAAACCGTTTCTCGTGACTCTGGAAAGAACAAAGTAGAACTATCCCATCTTATTTTATTTCCTGATTTTTAGAAAACTGTGAAGGATTTTAAAATCGAAGGAAATATCTTGGCACCGTTCACACCATTCAAAGAAAACGGGTTAGTAATGAGTACTAGAAAGTAAATAAATTCAAATGTTGAAGTAGACAAAACTAGCAATAAATCATAATCAAATATAGCAGCACAATATGGATATCGGGGTTTCTTTTCGCATTTGGTTATGTTTGCTTTTATTCTTTAATTTGTTGAGCGTCTGTCACTTTTAAGTTTTCAAAGTACCCTTGTTTTGTGTAAAGAAAAGTAAAACCAACGTTCTAGCAAAATATGTTAATTGTTTTTCAATATACCATCCTATAATCTAATTAATTGTTAGGTCATCATTCATATTACTTTACATGGAAATGTCAATTTATATTCACAGCCTTTTGTTATAACAAGTTTGTACATGTAGTCAAAAGGGGTTGACTTTGGGTTGCCAAACATATTAGTCGGATCTTGTGCAATGATCCAATTCTATTCAATACATTGATCTGATTAGTAAGTTAAAAGTCATCGGAGTCATCAAACGGTTTCACCAAGCAGAATAGCCTGGCAAGCTCCACCATTTGATAAAGACAATTGTTTCTGCTATACTATGAGTGTGTATTGGATTTCTATCGATGCACCGTGCCTCTGCATATTACTTGTTCTCTTAAGCTACAACTGGTAGTAGAATCGATTGCACCGAAATATCAATATTTTATCATGGTAAGCAATTAAGAATATCCTACTACAATACCCAATACGGCCGAGCTTGTTTTGCTGTATATGCAGCTGAATCAGGAAAACAAAGTTAGGAATGCATGATTATAACATCAATCCAAGAGCTTTTCAATCACCACGATTTTTTATCTGAAATTGGCATATTGAACGTAAGTAATAGTTAGCGGCTCTCCGGGAGAACATCAAATATTCTTCAAAACTGCTCATGATGCTGAGAAGCTATTTGGCTGAACATTTCCAAAGCATCGGCCATATGATCGTATTGGATAGTCTACAATAATCTAAAGTCGGATTCATATACTAGTGCTCTGGTCTGAATTCGCAAAGCTCGAAAAGCTGGACGACGACACTGTCAGGTGCGTCGCATTTTGTTCAATGGAGACTTTTTAACTAGTTAACCCAGGATAAAAGAGTTTTACAGTACCATCGTCATATGGTAATGAAGATATATATGCGTTACTATCAAACAAATTAACAAACAACAAACAAACAAACAAACAAAACCAAGCAGGGATAACATTTTGCAAGCTGGCAATGCAATCACTGCCGATCCCGTTAAAAAAAACAATACACAAATCGGAGAAGGATGATAAACTTGTGATATAGCATCTTCATATAAAAATATATTGATTCGAATATAAATCAATAAGAGCAGACAGTTTCTGAGACAACGGGCACTAAATCAGATGGATTGTTTCTAATTGGATTTATCATTTCACAGTTTGAGGATTACAGTTGCTCACCCTGGAATTCATGTCTTCTCTAATCCGTTAAATGGATTATGATGGCTCAACATACAGTATAATCACCAGCGATTATCACATCAAACTATTAAATTGTGTGTGAATAAGACTGGCTCTAAACGGTTAGTAAAAGTACTTCACTTGGATGCAAGTCGGTAGTTCTCAAATGGACTGTTTTAATACACTTGAAGTCAGCGATCTAAAATAACCACTGGCCTTCACTGGGCATTCCAATAAACGATAAACAATCTCAATTTCCCAAACTACTCTTGTATCCTGCCAATGTTGATCAATTTGAAAAAGATGGTCCTTTGATTACGTAATTGGGCAACAGAACCATCATGATTTACGTTTAATGCCACTAGGGGAAGAATAAGATAGTAATAAAACAATTGCACGAACGACTGACTTTGACAAACAGACAATTTAAAATGTTTAACACTGGTTCGACGTATTTTTATACGGGCCAAGAGCAGCAATACAAACCGGAATATTTCACTGGCGATGAAAATATAAATAATTTTCATGATTCCTTGTACGCTACGGACGCTATCACAGACGATGAAGAAAACCACAATGAAAGTAAGAATGAACTAAGAAAGGCACAAAAAGACGCTGGTATGAAACCAGGATGGCACCCATTGGGTATTGAGGAGTATTCGCCAAATGTTGATGACGGAATAATGATGTCAGTGATGGTGATAGCGCTATTGTTCGCACTGGTGATAATGCTTTACCACTGGGTAGATCTAATATTCTTAAACTTTGGATAATCGCTGTGTAATTAGTCCCACATTGTCATGTGAAAATTTAAATTATTTTAATCCCAAACATTAAATAATTTTTCAGTCTTAAGATTGGGAAAGCACAAACCTGAGTATTAGAATTACAAAAGCTAGGAATACAAAAAAGCAATGTTTGAAAAGCAAAACAACAATATAATGGAACCATAGTGAACCATTGAATTCCCAATTATTTTAGTAAACCATAAACATGCATTTTATACTCGAAATGTTCAAGAATGAGAACGTCATGAACAAGCATGACACAGTGCTTGCGAATATTGCACAGAGTGGTCCAGAATAAATGTCAATGCTGTTACCATTTCAATACTACTGGAGTAATCTTCTTGAAAATGTTGAGAATGAGTAAAAGCTTTATTCTTCTGGTATTACTCATAATGATTGCCAAACATCTCTACCAAGTTTCAAGAAGATTGGTCTAGTAGTATTGAAATGGCAACATCTTTGACGTTACTTCTGGACCCTACTCCTTCGCTTCTTAGATATAGCCTACAGATGCAAAATAAATATATATAAATCATTTCTACACCAGAAATGCAACCTGTTTTTATGTTTAATGTAGCCCAATTACGATAGTCAATTTTGTTCAATCAAAATAAGAATATGGTGATTATTTCGGACGTGCATGTATTGCAGACATTGGGGAGATTAAAGGTGCATGTTTTAAGAATACTTGCACGTGAAAGCCATTATGGTCTTCTGTGGGGAATTCGACTAAATAGTTCTACCTTTCTTAGTATTGACTTGGCAGAGTGAGTATACGTGCATAGTATAAGGAAAATAGTAGTAATGGGGTCTTTGAAAAAACCAACTGAGAAGGGGACAATAATCCAAAGGAACCATATTGCACGTTCAAATACAAACGAGGACGTCCTTGAGACAAAGTATACTCTTAAACATGGATATTATTTTGTAAATGATAGCCATGCGGTACAGAAAAGAATCACATTTTATGTACACTTGATTGTATATAAGTCCCTAAATAATGGCAATCATTTATTAGTATACCCTCTTTGATTATTCAAAAGTTCTAGATAAAGTGCTAAAATGTAATTTCACGTTCATAAGTGTAACTTTTAGGATTACAAAAGCGTTTTAACTTTTTCACGAATCTATCGATAGCGCCTTGAGATTCTGATCATTTGAACATGAAAATTTGTATTACTGTCACATGATTTTGAATTTTATAGCGATGTTGACTTGGAAATTATACCGAAGTACGTGGATCTCATTCTCAAATATAACATCCCAAATGTCTTTGGTAAGAATTATTTAGAATTTTGTAGTGATTTTATCTTTCTGATTAAATTCATCTATTCTGATAATCATCTATCTCATTGTTTCGTAACAAATATTTCTTCTTACTCATTTTAGGCCTTTTGAGCCTAATTTTCAAAAATAGGACCCATTTTAACATAATGGGCCTCAATGCTTTAAAATGTAGGCATGTTTGGCAAAATGTATGTTTCGAAAAACGGGTCTTCTCTGATGGACGGAAACATAAGCCAGTATTGGTTTGCCACGATATGTGCATTTGGGATTGATTTCAGTGCGTAAGATAAACTATTTCAGTACTTGGCACTACTGGTGAAGGTGCGACCCTTACTGTTGAAGAGAGGAAGCAAGTTACAGAAGCCTGGGCTAGAGCTGTAGATAATAAGTAAGAACTTAAATCAAATGAAATTATACCACAGCCATTCTGTTTTACCTAGGTTCTGGTTTGAGAGATACATGGAGAGGACCCAGGGGCGGATGCGGGAACCAACAAGGGGGAGGGGGGCATATTTGAAGTGTGAAAAAAATAATTCCGGAAAAATTGGAAAATTTACTTGGCCCATTGTCTTGATAATGTGGCCTAAAATTTGAAAGTAAGGCCTCGAAAGGCCCATTTTTACCCAAAAAGGCCCATTAATCGGGCCCTTCAAAGGGTTGATCACAATTCAGTTTATTTGGATGTCCGGTAAAAGTAAACTCGCTGAGTTTCTAATATTTCAAACACTGTTTTTAACCTGAATGAAATCTTCAATGTGGATGCCACTGATCACATACCCTGTAACAGTAACTCTTGATTTGCTTTCAGACCATTAACCATCATTGCCCATGTGGGAGGGGCCAACCTTAGAGAATCAATGGACCTCGTGAGACAATTTGCTTTACAATTTTATAGTATTTCACCACATAACACATTGAGCTATTAAAAGCCAATCAAGAATGACTAGTTATTTTTAAACTAAAGCCAATCAAGAATCGACTAGTTATTCTTAAACTATAAAGCCAATCAAGAATCGACAAGTTTTTTTGTTACTTTTTTGTCTGGACAAGAAAACATAGAAAAATAGCCGAATTGGAAAATCTGCGCCATCGTACAAATTGTCACCAATCATATCACATCTCGCATCATTGATGACACTTAACCACGAAAACTGATCATTCAAGGCGTCCCACGCAGAGACCGTTGATGGTGTACAAGCAATAGCTGCAACGGGGAGTGTGTATTACAAGCCAAAGACAGAAGGTACATGTACATTTGATAAATGGTATCGTTGAAGAAAGTGCGATAAATAGAATCTTTACAAGTTGTATTCTGAAATAAACAGGCTACCATTTTAACGTTTCCTTTAAAAAATTAGAGTTTGGAGAGAATATTTGAAGGTGAATATTATAAAACAAATACCTGATGACATATAATAATCTGGATGTCAACAAGACTGGAGAGTATCCTGGTTTTTCTATAAATTAACTATACGTCATCTTCTTCAGATGTGGAAGTTGACTACATCAAGCAGATTGCAGCTGAAGCGCCAAGTCTCCCATTCTTCTATTACGATATTGACTTCATGACTGGGATTAAACGTAAGTCAAAGTACACCGATATTAATATATTTAGCATTATACCCCACAGGAGGAAAATAATTAGGATGAAGATACTCACCCTAAAATGGCCAGCGTTTCTCAAAAATAAGAAGCATCCAAATCAGTTGGGATATAGGAATGTAATATCACGCACCTTGAGTTGAAGGCAGGCTTAACATAGTATTGATCAAATATTATTGTTTTAATTCAATAAAAGGTTTCGTTCAATTTTTGTTCATTTATAGTAAATGTATCAAGTTTGGCCCAGCTTGCTACCAAGGTGATCCCTACATTCAGAGGCATAAAGCATTCGTCTAAAAGTATAGCTAGCATGGTGAATTGTAGTATGATAGGTGGCGTCCAAGTCATCAATGGTGCGGTTGACGTAAGTCCGGATTGTTTTATATATTCATGTGGTTTTACAAACTGTTTATCAACTTTGAAAATTTAATTTTCTTTGAAAATGTGACTTCTATGTCGGGGAGATTTCCCATAGACCCCATGTTGTAAAACCACAAAAAGTGAAATATCTTTTCTAGTGTACTGGGCATTGTCTTTTACCAGATATATTTTAATTTGTATAATTATCAGATACATAATATTAAGGGTAAATTGAACCACTAAAATTGATGAATATTCAAGTCTAAGGGAACTTTCTAATGTTATCTTCCCCGAATCGGCCACCTAGTGGTGAAAATGGTAACTATCTACTCGCATTAGGATATTGCATATAGCTCTTCTTAAATACTATAATAGATGTCCCATTCAAATGTTTCACGATGTTGCTCATTAAATGTTCATTTCATTAAATCTTACATTTAGCAATATCTCGCGGCTCTGACGTGTGGTATGGAATGGCCTGTGTTGGGAGTACCGTGTACAGCACCGATAGCTACCAAAATCAAAGAAGCTTACGATCAAGGGGATATGAAGACAGCCAGAGAACAACAAGAGTATTTACAAAGGTTATATAACCTGAGAGATAGTGTTGGTGAGAATGGTCTTATGCGTATATAGAGATTATTTTACAGGGTGTCCCGAGTGTTTTCATAGTTTGTGTCACATATCATTTTAAAGCCCATCCAAAGTTACAAGTATCATGGTTTAACTCTCAAATGTGGAAAAATTACAGGCATATCAAAATTTAGGGTTTGGCCAAAATTAAGTTCAATTTTACACCAATCACTAGTAAATGTGTCCTCCCGAGCCATCGTAACAGCAGCAATTCTTTTCGGGTCGGATTGATATTAAATTGGTAAAAGAGAACGGCGAGGGAAGATACTCCAAGGAAAGAGGATTACAAAATTCCACACCCCTATTTGTAGGACTTTTAAGGTCATATCTGAAAAGAATTGCTGCTGTTTACATGGCCAGGGGAGGACACATTGACTAGTAATGTGGTGTAAAATTGAACTTTATTTTGACTGAACATTAAATTTTAAATTGTAACTTTTTCCATTTGAGAGTTGAACCATGATACTTGGCATGCAACTTTGGATAAGTTTTAAAATGATAAATACAGGGTGGTCCAAAAATGGGATACTCGTATTTCAAAAATAAATATTGATTTTCTTGATGAAAACATGTCATATTATATACCTATGGATAGGGAATTTACTCATCTTTAATTTGGTATATCATGAGTTCAAATTTATTATACTGTCTCATGATCAACCAGCGTCCATAATATAAATGACGTCATTTTCGTTTCAAAACGGGTTTTCGAAAACTTGCAAAAACCAGCAAGTTTTATTGTCAACTTTATTTACATAAACAGACGTTTAATATGTCTAATATTTTGATAAATTGTAGCCCTCAATTCTGGCCTAAACTGGTCAATAGCATCATTGATATGCTGTTAAGACAATGAATTTCACTTATCAACAATTCTATCCTTAGTAAGGGACTGAGTAGTTGTAAGGGGTTCATGATAAACCAATTCTGTTCTCCCCATACATGTAAAGCCCGGTATACACCAATGGGACAAAATCCCACTTGCCCCATCGAGTCCCATCTTGCCCCATCGAATCCCAATTTGCCCCATCGAATTCCACGAAGTCCCATGGGACCTTGATGATTTTGCCCTATCGTGCCCCATGGAGTCCCATCAAATCCCAACGTGCCCCATTGGTGTATGTCGGGCTTCACACAACACGTCATATGATCAAAAATCCCACGATGCCCCATGGAAAGAATGAACATGTTCATTCTCGATGGGACTCCATGGGACTCCGTGGGATTTTGCCCCATCGAGTCCCACCGAGTCCCACGTGGGACTTCATGGGACCTCATGGGACCTCGTCCCAACTTGCCCCATTGGTGTATGCTGGGCTTTAGTCGCATTTATTTTTGAAATACGAGTGTACCATTTTTTGGACCACCCTGTACTATGACGACACTGGTATATGTCTGCCTAGGGGAGGGCATTCTTCCGGGACACTCTGTATTTGAGGTGCAGGATATCGGGATTATCCCGAGGCTAATATCTGCCCGAGGGCCATAGTAGGTCCCGGGGTAGGTCCCAAGATTATATATATTATATTGGCCAAGGAATAATCCCAATATCCCGAATCGGCTAAATGATCGGATCTGTTTATCCCATACCAATCTTGCTAAGAGGCCCGACTTCAGAAAAATGGACCAGCACGTGCGAATGGTGTTACGTATTACACCCCAGTCACATTTCCCACGGCCGCCGTGCGGTCTATCATTTCTGCGGACAGTAGCTTTTCTACGCTCGCCGTAGAATTTCTGCGCTCTCATACTTATGCAGTCACATTTCCCACGGCAGCCGCACGGTGAATTTCAAATTTCTGTTGATAAATAATACTTTTTTCTTTTTATTTACATCAGGACAATTTATAAATGTTATTCATAGTGCTAGGATGTAATATCATATGAAAAGTGATCGTGAAACATTGACAAATAATGATTCAATCTTGTTGAGCCAGTTGATTTCTACGGGGACCTCAGAAATGAACAAGTATTATAACTCCGAGTTATAATTTCTACGGCGACCCTGCGGCCTGTAAAAAACTGGATACGCCGTACGGAGACCGCAAGGCGAGAATAGTTTTTCTACGCTCGCCGCAGTCATTCACTGATTTAATTGATCTGCGGTCGATGCACGGCCTTCGTACGACAAATGTGACTGGGGTGTTAATCTTTATCTGTCCACTGATGAAAATATAAGTTTTAAAGCTCGCTTTGTAGCTGAAAAACGTATGTGATAAAATTATTTATGTATGAAGTAAATACATTATAATTAGTATGGTTAGTATGTATTGTTTATATTGTTATTGATCTAAAGATGGTCATCGTTACCAATAGTGCCACACAAATCAGAAGCAGGTATACAATGCACCAATAAATATCTACAAATAAAATTTAACTTGTTTTCCAAGGTGGTGGGAATGGCGTCCTAAGAGCAATAGTGAAACTAATAGATGGAATTGACTTTGGGAGATCCAGATGCCCTATACCCTACCCTACCCAGGATAACATTGACACATTGAAGCAAGGGCTTATTGATCTAGAGTTTTTGTAGACGTCATTGACCACGATACACGGGTAGTATCTAAAGCCCCGCTATGATTTAAAAATCGCGAGCAAGTTCCCGCTGAAATCGCGAGGAATAAAAAGAAGTCATGGGTTCATTTTTGTGTTCTTGAATTGTATGATTTACAAAACGTTTTCTTTTAATTTTTCCCAATGATTACATGGTATTGAGACTAAAAAAGCAACTGCTGGAAAAAATGTATCACGAACGGTCCTTCTGTGGTTCGTTATTTGTCAATTGAAGAGAGAAAGTATCATTTTGAATCTTTATCTTTATATTTCTATACGTTATTGGTGAAGAACGATGTTGTCCTGTGGTTGAAATAACGATAGTGATATGAAATAAAGATGTACCGAGTTTCGCTTCCTAAAGCTTTACAGAACATTTTATATTTAAATTTTATCATATCCCTCAAGGCCCCGCTTCTAGCAGGAGCAATAAAGCAAAGATCCCGCTGAAATCAGGAGGAGGCCCCGCTGAAAACATGAGGAGGTCCCGCTGAAAACAGGAGCAAGTGTCTCTCAAAAATGGAGTGAATCCCGATTATACCCTGAAAATCTCCCACTTTCGTACCCACCTTGATCCACTATTGTAACCAGTTTGATGAATACATTATTTGTCAATACAATTCTCAATAACAGCAAATACAACTGTTAATATAGTTCATATTATGATACGTTGTTATGGAAAACTGCAGTATCATATTTCCATGCCATTTTACAGAATAAGAAAGATCATCTGAGAAATGTGAGTATTAGATCGGACGAAATGTTAAACATTTAACCTCATTTTCATAATTTGAAGTAATATAAGTTATTGAATGATTTGAAGTGCAATGTAGGATACATTGTGCTCAAAAAATTCTGTATTGGCACGAGATGAAATCATTTGGAAATACAGCATATCGAGAGCACAATATATCATATGTTGCGCTTCAAATCGTTGTATAACGTTTTTTATCGTGTGATCTTACTACATAGTCCATAGGAAATATTCTGTATTCTCTGTATTGCAACTGTCCCCTCTGTTCCATCTTTGAGTACATAGAGATTATCCTATATGAGGTTCAGGATATTGGGATTATCCCGAGGCCAATATAATATATCTGCCCGAGGGCCGTAGGTCCCGAGGGTAGATATATTATATTGGCCAAGGGATAATCCCAATATCCTGAACCGACTATAGGATGATCTGTTTATCCCATACCAATCACATTGTTCAATTTGCCAAAGTTCAGAAACTTTGCAACCAACCGTGGAATATTCTTAAAATATTCATGTCCAGTTTTGTATTCCTGTTTCTTTTCCTATTCAAATCTTTGATTATTAACGCCAGTACACTGCTCCTTTCCTCCTTTAAAGCATCAAACAGGTCGAGATTGTCTGCGTTTTTCTCCATTGTCGTTTACAGTATGCGAACGTTACAAAAAAGAACCAATACGGGAACAGCGATTATGACGTAGCGGGCAGATATAGTATATCTGCCCGCTCGGAGCGGGACGTAAAGCTATATCTGCCCGCTGATGAAAATATAAGTTTTTGCAAACCGGCTTTATGTACCCGTAACACGTCCAAGTATGGGATAAAAGTCGATATTCAGTAAGATACACGAATAAGCGTGCGTTTAGGTCAACATAAAATGATTTAGTCAGAACAATGTTTATGAATATTATTCCGACATCAATCTCCTGTTGCTTACTTGCTTGCTCGCTTCCTCCCTTCCTTGCTTCTGTGCTTCCTTCCTTCCTTGCTTCCTGGCTTCCTTCCTCGCTTCCTCACATCCTTCCTTCGTCGCTTCCTTCCATCCTTGCTTCCTTCCTTCCTCGCTTTCTTCCTTCTTTGCTTCCTTGCTTCATTCCTTCCTTGCTTCCTCACTTCATTCCTTCGCTTCCTCCCTTCCTTCCTTCCTCACTTCCCTCCTTTCTTTCTTGCTCCCTTCCTTGCTTCCCTCCTCGCTTCCTTCCTCGCTTCCTTCCTTCCTCCCTTCCTTGCTTCCTCGCATTCTTGCATCCTTCCTTCCTCGCTTCCTTCTTTCCATCATTGCTTCCTTCCTTCCTTTCTTGCATCCTCCCTTCCTCGCTTCCTCACTTCCTTCCTTCCTCGCTTCCTCACTTACTTACTTCCTCGCATCCTTCCTTCCTTGCTTCCTCCTTTCCTTGCTTCCTCCCTTCCTTGCTTCTTTCCCTCCTTGCTTCCTCGCTTCCTTTCTTCCCGGCTTCCTTCCTTCCTTGCTTCTTTCCTTCCTCGCTTCCTACCTTCCTTTCTTCCTCGCCTCTTCTTTTCTTGCTTCCTTCCTTCTTTGCTTCCTTCCTTCCTCGGATCTTTCCTTTCTCGCTTGCTTCCCACCTTGCTTCCTTCCTTCCTCGCTTCATTCCTTCCTTGCTTCCTCGCCTCTCTCTTTCATCGCTTTCTTCCTTCCCTCCTTGCTTCCTCGCTTCCTTCCTTCCTCGCCTCTTCTTTTCTTGCTTCCTTCCTTCCTTGCTTCCTCGCTTCCTTCCGTCCTCGCATCTTTCCTTCCTCGCTTCCTTCCTACCTTGCTTCCTTCCTTCCTTCCTCGCTTCCCTCTTTCCTTCCATGCTTTTTTCCTTCCTCGCTCCCTTTCCTCCTTCTTTGTTTCCTCGCTGTCTTCATAAATTTCTTCCTCACTTCCTTTCCTCCTTCCTTCCTTGCTTCATTCCTTCCTTCCATGCTTCCTCGCTTGCTTTCTTCCTTGCTTCCTCGCTTCCTTCCTTCCTCGATTCCTTCCTTCCTCACTTCCCTCTTTCATTCCTTGCTTCCTTCCTTCCTCGCTTCCTTTTTTCCTCCTTCCTTGCACCCTCGATTCCTTCGTTTTTTCCTCGCGTCCTTCCTTTTTTGCTTCATTCCTTCCTTGCTTCATCGCTTCCTCCCTCGCTTCCTTCTCTACTCCTTCCTTGCTTCCTCGCTTTCTTCTTTCCTTGCTTCCTCGATTCCTTCCTTCCTCACTTGCATCCTCCCTTCCTTGCTTCCTCACTTCCTTCTTTCCTCCTTCCTTGCTTCCTCGTTTCCTTCATTCTTTCCTCGCGTTGTTCTTTTGTCGCTTCATTCCTTCCTTGCTTCCTTCCCTCCTTGCTTCCTTGCTTTCTCGCCTTCTTCCTTACTTACTTCCTTCCTTGCTTTTTTCCTTCCTTCCTTTCTTGTGTCTTTGCTTGCTTCCTTCCTTCCTTGATTCATCGTTTCCTTCCTTCTTTGCTTCCTGGCTTCCTTTCTTCCTCGTTCCCTTTCTTGCTTCCTTCCTTGCTTCCTTCCTTGAAGGAAAGATAGAAGAAAACAATTTACAAAAGATCGAACCCACGCACGCAAGAACGTAGTTACAAACGAACGCACGAATGAACGCACGCACGAACGAACACACAAACGAACGCAAAAAGAACGAACAGACGAACGCACGCATGAATGGACGGTTGAACGAAAGCACGCACGGACGAACGGACGGTTAGACGGACGAACCCACGAACGAAAGGGCAGTCAGACGAAAGCAAGCACAAACGGACGGTCAGACGAACGCATGCGCACACAAACGGACGGACAATCGCACGAACGGATGCACGCACGAACGAACGAATGGTCGGATGAACGCACGCATGAACGAACGGACCGTCGGACGAACGCACGCACGAACGAACGGTCGGTCGAATGCACGCACGAATGAACGGTCGGACAAAGAGACCAATGAAATATATGTGTCCTCAGAAGTATAATCCTTGGAATAGTTAATTATCTAGAATGTACATTTAACTCCGAAATGCACAAAGTCTATTTACATATAAAAATTTGATCATGCCGCTGACAGATGGATTAGACTGCCTGAAGTTGAAGAAGAAATATTTGTGATGTTGCCATAAAATGATATATTATGTGACTGTCATTAATACGTTATTTGCACATTCGTGTACGTTCATATAAAGAAGCTCACTATATTCATGGAATAATGATGAAGCTTTCCTCGTGATCGAAGCGGGTAGTCGTGAAATTTGCTCGTGTTTTCAGCGGGGTCTCCTCATGTTTTCAGCGGGGCCTCCTCATTTTTTCAGCGGGGCCACTGGAACACCTTTAATCATGTATTTCGACCCCCATGGCAGGTGTCATTGTCCAGTAACTTATCAATACAGACCATCTTGATCCGATATTTATTATGGAGTATGTAAATCGTATTTATTGCCTTTATTTTAACGATAAAGGTAATATATGAGCAGTAAATTATGCAAACGTGCATGTTGACGCCCCTTTCCTTCATGCAAGTAAAAAATAATCATTTTTCATGTCATTTTTTGTCAAATATATCTGTTTTCAAAGTTTTGCTGGAGTATCAAAGAACGGTAATAAGTATTTTCATCCTTTTGGTTCATTTTCCAAAGTGATACAAATAAACAGGACTATGCTCGCGATTTCAGCGGGAACTTGCTCGCGACTTTTCAATCATAACGGGGCTTTAGATACTACCCGTGACGATAGTTCTCATCTAACGTTGTAGAAGTCATCCAGTACGTAAAACGAAGCAAGCAGGCTGTAATATCAAGGACAGTTGCAGATGAGCTAATTAGTAAATTAGTTCTTATATTAATTAGTGTGATCATAGAGCCAAGCATTCCTGATCAAGTAGCCAATGTCATATAGGGCTACTTTAAAAAAATGCTTTTGGAGATACATGTAGAACCTTTTGCATCTGTAACGCAATGATCGGTTCATTTGATGGAGATAAAACTTTTTATTACCCTGGAATACAGGGCAAGGCAATGAGATGAAGCAAGCCACACCATTGGGAAGGATATCTATCCAGATCAAACATGATGAATCCTTATAACTTATTTACTAAATTGTGTTACAAAGGTGGGTATTTTGTGTAGAATCCAGGTGTGCCTGCAAAGGAATAATCGACACATCCTGTAGTGTTCATAAAGAAACATCGAGTTGAGCTCATTCTGATACTCATAGCATCTTTCTGTTTCACCTGAAACAGGCCTGAGAAGAATTGAGATCGTCATGGTTTATCATGATGAGTTGAGCTAGTCATCTGAAACTTCTTTCATGTCTTTTGGAGCTGCTCTATGAAGTTTTTAATTTTTCTGTACAAGAACAAGTCAAAATTTGTGCAGACAAAAAAGTTATGCAACATTACGGAGGTGGATGGTATTTTTGTGTGTCACAATGTACACAATGTTGTTAAATGTTAAAAGCTTTTATCTCCAATTTGAACAATGGCATTTTATGTTAAAAAGTTTTATCTCAAGCATGGAATAAGAGATATAATCATATAGCAGTAATTATGTTCATCAAATGAAAGACAAACTTATTGCCTTTGAAATCTCCCATTTCTGTTGGTTATGTTATGCTCTTACATGAAATTGACCAAAAATTGGTAGTTAGAATCTTAAAGTAGTGAAGGGACGACACGGCTTAGTTTAAACAAAACGAATACGCATATCTGAACTCAAAAATTGATTTAGCCATTGCATGGAGTGATTTATTTTGTTTGAGATGAAGCAGCTTTAATCTGACGATCCCCGGTTTGTTTTGGGTAAAAGTTCTCTTGCTCCAGTTGATAGATGGCAATCAAGTAGTTATGCCGGAAAAGTCTGATCGAGTGCTAGGCCAGCCTATAAACTATGAAGTTTTATATCTTACAGGCCCGTAGCCAGGCCCTGATATCTCCTAAAAAATGTGGACCTACCTTTTTGCTTCCTTGAAGAAAAACTTACTCTTCCCTACATTCACTTGGCAATTTAGATTAAAAAACTGGCATTGCTGTGCATTGTTTTTCGAATTTGGGCATTATTTTCAAAAGTTGGCCCAATTTTTTCGCAGACATATTTGTGCCCATTTCCCTCTGTTTTTTAGGATCGTCCTTTGTGTTTTGTTAATCATAGCCTTCTGGCGGTTCCAGAAGGGGGGCATGGGGCCGCCCCCCCCCCCCCCCCTAAGGTGGGCCCGGAAAAAATGTTGGCCCAAAAATATTGTAGGGCCTCTTTAGTGGGCCTTTTGGGCATTACTTGATCTTTTTGGGCCTTAATCTTTTCAATTTCAGGCAAAATTTTCAAAAACGGTCTTTAAATTTTCTAAATTTTGGCCAAAATTTTACGCGCAGCCCTAGTATGGGCCCAGAAAAAAATGTTGGGCCAAAAATATTGTAGGGCCTCTTTAGTTGGCCTTTACTTGACCTTTTTACTTGACTTTTTGGCCTTAGTTTTTCAATTTTAGGATAAATTTTTAAAAAATGGGCCATAAATCTTTAAAATTTAAGCCAAAATTTTGGTTCTAGGGCCCTAGAAGGTTCTCCGCGTGGCCATAGGATGGGACCAGAAAAATAGTGTAGGGCCTCTTTGATGGGCCTCTTTGGGCATTAATTGACCTTTTGGGCTTTATTTTTTTCAATATAAGGCCAAATTTTCAAAACGGGACATATATTTTCAGAATTTTCGCCCGATTTTGGTTTAAGGGCCCTAAAACTTTTGCGCGCGGCCCTAGGATGGGCCTAGAAAAAAAGAGTTGCCGCCAAAAATATTGTAGGGCCTCTTAGCTTTAGTTGGCCTTTACTTGACCTTTTTACTTGACCTTTTTGGGCCTTATTTTTTCAAATTTAGGCCAAATTTTAAAAAAACAGGCCATAAATTTTCTAAATTTTTGTTCTAGGGCCTTAAAAGGTTTTCCGCGCTGCCAAAGGATGGGCCCAGGTAGGGCCTCTTTAGTGGGCCTTTTTGGGCATTACTTGACCTTTTTAGGCCTTATTTTTCAATTTTAGGCCAAATTATCAAAGAACGGGTCACAAATTTTCAGAATTCTGGCCCAAATTTTGGTATTAGGGCCCTTAAAAATTTTCTGCGCTGCCCTAAAATGGGCCCAGAAAAAAATGTTGGCCCAAAAATATTGTAGGGCCTCTTTAGTGGTCCTTTTTGGGCATTACTTGACCGTTTTGGGCCTTATTTTTTCAATTTTTCAAAATGTAAGGCCAAATTTAAAAAAAACGTGCCATAGATTTTCTGATTTTTGGTCCAAATTTTGGTTTTAGGGCCCTAAAAAGTTTTTCCGCGCAAGCGCGGATATTTCTTCCTGACTTGAACTGTGGGTCCCCCTTGTTAGCTTCCGGATCCGCCACTGTCCTTTACAATACAAAGGGTCTTGGTTTAGCATGGGGATTTTTATTGGGGGGGGGGGTCGAGCCCCCCCCCCCCCCCCACCCTTACAAAAAGCTGGCTACGGGCTTTTCTCATCTTTTATCTTTTCTTCATCCTAGGTATGACATATATACATCTGTTATACACGGTCGGTTTTGGATAAAGGGTTTATCCCTCTGGAATAATGTGCATCTCGGTCCCTCTCCATCCAAAATTCACATTTTCCAGGCGTTCAAATAAACATCAGGGGCATGAGCAGAGAATGCCGGTACCCTTTGCATTCGTTTGACTTCACTTCTTAAAAGAGAGCTTCGTCTTCGTCTGTAGTTTAACTAGACTCTGCACGCAGGGTAAAGCCCGGGTGTATAGCCAAGTGAAAAAGTATATATGTGTTGGTGCCTCTTTTACCTCTTGTATGAGACCATTTCAATAACTAAGCTTATCTTGTCTTCCTTAGTCTCCTCTCTGACAGAAGTGAATCAACCGTTAAGCATTAAACTTTATTAATAGATGACAAAAGATTTTTTGCTGACTGACAATATTACATATGATTTGAAATAGCAAGCCACATGTACATCAAACCATTTGAAAGCTTATTTATGTTCAGGGACTGGGAAATTAAGTGTTATGCACAGAACTTAAATGATAAATCACGAAATAAATCTATTTTGATCCAAATTAAACTTAAATAATAAATAAGTGACATATTTTTGCAGACTTACAACTTGTACATGAAGGTTTGACTTGGGCTGTGATTTTAGGATGTTTACAGTATTGAATTTCCCATCCTTGATGAAGCTTATACACGCCTAACCATCGACAAGGTACAGTCACGTGACCGTGACAAAATATGCCGTAGTACACTTTTGATGTACGATGTCACTATTAACTGATTTTAAGCAAAGACTATGATGTAGGTTTGATGCAGGTTTTCAAAAATAAATTTGAGGAATACAAAAAGGATTTCCTGTTTGATTTCGCGTGTATTCGATTTCAAAGACATTTATTTTTCTAATTACGTTAAAAGATCTTCGAGCAGTGCTCGATTTTTTTCGTTGTACGTCTACCCATACAATTGTTCGGTTGGAAAAATGTTGTTTTTTACACATTTCCTTTGATAATTTTCCCTGACGTCTCGGAGTGTCGAATATTTTAATGAGAATGTGTTTCTCTAAACTGCACAATTTAAGACGGGTTAAGATTTAATAAATATTCATGCATTTGGTATAATTTAAAAAATCAGAAATGTACGTTGTCAACTCACAGTGTATGTTGTCCCTGTAATTGAAATTCATGAGTTATAATATTAAACATTGCAATGATTTAATTTCAAAACTGATTAAGGGTTTTATGCGTAACAAGTGATGTTCAACGAACATGCTCCTGTATCCCTAGTACAGATAAACAGGTAAACGTGATTTTTTCGTTGAATGCTATTTTATTTCATGAAAGTGTTAATATGGTGATTAATATGTGACCATGGCGTGATATTTTCCGACCTTTTTGGCCACTCGGCGTCGGTACGTTACGTTATGTTTAGTTGCACTTTTATGAATTTTAATAATCTCAAGGAGTTCATGGAGAGATCTATACTAGCAAGATGACTTTCAAAATTTATGCTATAGGGTGTCCCGAAAGTATGGACCCCCTAGGCAGACATATACCAATGTCTCCATAGTATGTGTCATATATCATTTTAAAGCTCATCCAAAGTTATATTAATTTGCCGAGTATCATGGTTCAACCCACAAATGGAAAAAGTTAAGGAATACAAAAGTTAGTGTTTGGCCAAAATTAAAGTCAGTTTTACACCAAAACAATAGTCGGTGTGTCTCCTTAGCCGCCATGTTAACAGCAGCAATACTTTCCATATATGACCTTAAACAGGCTTCAAATAGGGATATGGCGTTTTGCGATCCTCATGAAACCTTTTTAAGGCATAAGAAGAGTTTCCTTGGAGTTAATCTACCCTAAACGTCATCTTTTTAGAACTAATAGCCATCCTATCTTCGAGAATGGCATCCATATTTTCTTTCACAGGGTCAGGGCTGTTTCCAGGATACTGAAATGAATCTTTTTGACAAAACGCTAATTTTTGAAATGCCTGTTACTTTTTACCATTTGAACCATCATATTTGGCAAATCAATGTAACTTTGGATAAGCTTAAAAATGATATATGACACATACTATGGAGACATTGGTATATGTCTGGCCAAGGGAGGGGGGCATACTCTTGGACACTGTATATCTGGAAACTGCAGAAGTTCAAAAGCCAGGTATGGAACACAAAAAAAGAATTAGTAACATTGACATTTAATCATATCAATGACAATTTTATGGATTAACGGAAAAAATATTAGGGAAAATATATCTGATATGCCTATTAAATATTATTACTTTATTATCAAATATGTTCCTTCTATTACACGTACATTATAGCATTTCATTCACTGTAAAATTAACTGTGAATTGAGATCTGTAAGGCCAATGTGACAACATACATTCGAGTTGACAACATACATTATCTATTTTTCGTAGTAGCATCCAAAGTAAAAAGCGGTTTTTCATTAACTCTGAATGTATATTTGTATACTTATCTTAAGTTGTGTTAGTCGTAGTTTGGCTGTTATTTGCATAGCAAAACAAAAATTAGAGAGAATTTTGAGAAATTCAGTCAAGATTTAGAGATCCCTGACGTGCTGGGTAGATCTATAACAAGATATTGAAGTTGCTGAGGATCATTTAAAGTAGATATGCATATTTGCAACTTAATTACAAATCGAATGCAACAACTACCTGATGATGAACTGACACAATATTGATCAAATCAATGCTAGTTCTTTCCTCGCTTCCTCATTCTAGAAAATGGCGATCTAAAATGGCGGAAATGACATAGTACATCAAAAGTGTACTACAGTATATTTTGTCAATGTCACGTGACTGTACCTTGTCGATGGTCAGGCGTGTTATACTAGATTAGTATTCTATTGCTATTTCTTGCTTGGTCTTCCTGATTAAACGTGCATGATTTTCAAATATACTTATCATACTCTTCTACTCTTATTATACATCTTCCATTACAAGCCTTTTTACATCACAAAATCATGGTGTCGGACTGTCGGTATATAGCAATGGTTTTCGGTACAACGCGCATGGATTTCGGTACAACGCGCATCGGTATATTGGTTTTCGGTACAATGCGCGTCGGTAAACTTATCGATTTTCGGTACAATGCGCATCGGTATATTGGTTTTCGGTATAATGCGCGTCGGACGTCGGTATAATGAGGTAATCTCGTGTGTGGATTACAATCATGTCAATATTCGTGATATCCCTGCAAACTGGGACGGAGTCGTCTTTTTGCTCACCCTGTAGGTAACAGGAGTACGTGTCTCATTCCGATGGGACCCTCAGTCCCCAACTTAAACTCTGTGCGGTAAATATACTTTTTGGTTTCGTTTAATTTTTTTAACAACTACATATATATATATATTTATTCTTCAAGTACATTTACATCCCTTGTGGTCAAGTACATGTACAAACAAAAAAATTATAAAAATTATAAAGGAAGGAAAAGAAGTCATTTACAGTACATGTAAAAAACTACATAACTATTAGTATTATACTATTAATGATGATGATGCATTGGTGGCACAAGCGCGATATAGCTATTGGTACTGGATGTAATTAAATATATATTTTGCTACATTTATACAGTTTTGATCTTTACCAGACATCAAATAAATAAATAAATTTTCTTGGACTGGCATTTTCATTTAAGACAACATTATACTTCTTTGTTTATTATATTTCGTACAGTGGAGGAGATGGTGTTCTTCATTTTCTATAATATTGCATGTTTCGCATTTTCTCTCTTCCAGGAGGTGTCGGTTTTGGTCTTATGTGTAGCGACCGAGTTCAATTTTGAGATTATGTGCACAATTCTAAATTTAAAGGAATATTCCTTGCCAGACCCTTTCTCTCTTGATATGGTAGCTATAATCATATATATAGTTTCCATATTTAGCAAAACATGGGAAAATGTTTTAATATGGTCAATATTGATCATTTAAAAATCTAGTGCTTATTTCCAGTGAGCTGCCATCTTTTAAGATTTCTTGCAGGAAGTGATGTCATCAACTCTCAACTTCTATAACCTTGCCCATAACAGTATAGGAAAGTAGCACAAAATCACTTCAAGACAAGTGATCATTACTTTCTGTGCAAAAATATTTTCAGGGCTTGTCAACTTAGAATAAAAGAAGATATTTTCAGAAGGATTAAATAAGATACAAAGTTGAAAAATAATATTTAGCTGGTTTTGTAATTCTTAATAGCTCCTTACCTAATGCTATATGCAAAGTTGAGAGTCGATGACATCACTTCCAGTGTGAAATTTTAAAAGATGGCAGCTTACTGGAATTGAGCATCACATTTCTAAGTGATCAAATTTGACCATATCAAAACATTTTTGCGTGTTTTGCTAAACATGGCAAGCATATATATGGTTATAGCTACCATATGAGGAGAGAGATGGTTTGGCAAAGAATATTCCTTTAAGTCAAAACGTTTTATAACATCTAAATAATTTTCATATGCAAAGTTCCTTTTGAATGTGTTATAAGTTCTTAGTTTGTTATTGCACTTTCGTTGTTGTGTATCATTAGAGATATTATTCTTCCAGAATTCATGAAATCGGCTCCTTAGACTTTGCTTGCATTCAGATAATACTTCTCTCGCCCGTAGCCAGCTTTTACCAGAAGATCAGAAGGGGGAGCTTTTTTTCAGGGGGGAGCTTTGTCACAATTTTGGCTAAAAATCATGCGAAAAATTATCAGAATGATGAAAAACTGCATGATTTTGAAAGAATTTCTGGCCGGGGGGGGGGGGAGCTTCCACTCCCCCAGCTCCCCCTCTGGCTACGGGCCTGCTTCTGGTGTTATATCTAGTATTTCATCTGTCTGTATTCATTAATATTTTAATCAATTTTAAGAACAACGAATACCATGACGTGAAATTCTGATTTTTGTGTATATGTTATGTTAGTCTCAGAGCTCAAATGAGTCTGAAATGTGAATAATAGATAATGATAATATTTACATTATTTCAACACTACTCTAAATTGTTATTATTTACACTGATTAATCCATCAAACATGGACTTCCGTGTTATGTTTGATAATATTATTGTTGGTAATGTTGATTATTTTCTTACTTTCATATGCTAATATCACTCCCTTTTGATGTACTCTGTAATTATCAGACTCAGGATGTTACTTGCTACATTGTAGCCAAGATTCCCGGCAAAACTTTCAAGAATGAATATTTAATTAGCAGTAGCGCGATCTAATTGGTCGAAAGTTTTAGTCACGTGACCCCAATTGATTGATTCTCACAGAGAAGGAAGATCAGTTTACAGAAAGAAGCCTACCTCCAACATGGAAGAAACCATGGAGAAACCATGGAAGATGACTCCTCTAAGCAATGTGGATACGAGTTCTTCCGTCTTTCAACCGTCCCAGCTTCTGAACTGGTGCTATCTAAACCTCACTGACAATCAGCAACAGCAGCAACAGCAAAGACTGCAAGAGGCACAACAGAACAGCAATTCTTGGACAGCAATTCAGAACCAACAACAGAATATCTTGGCTACAGATCCATGGACCACACAACAACAGGTCAGTCAAGTTTTCTACTGAGCATGTTAATCAATGAAGGGGAAGGTGTTTAGTTTTAAGGCCAATGAAATGCATGTTTGGATTGATCCAATGTCTAATGTTTAGCATCTTCAAATACCTATTGTAACTACAATTATTTTGAAAAACCACTTGATTTTGTGTGCATTCATGAACTAACATCAACAGATCAAAGGGTGTTATATGGTTTTGGATGTGACTTAAAGATTAACTAGTGGCCTTGGCCTCTATTTTGATTTGGAGATCAAGCACTGTTTGTCTTTTCTAAATCATTACCTCTTCAGTACAATACAATTGCAGGGAAGCAGTTACTGCTTTTCCACATTTAACAAAAATCAAAGTCTCTAAAAAGACATATTTTCACACAATACAATTAAGGCCAATATTTTGAATGCAAAGTAATGCGTTTAACAATCTGCTTTTAGTAAACAGCCATTTTATATAATGAGGCCAAAATTAATTATGTTTTGTTTAATAGCCCAATGTGAGTGCTACAAATGTGCAAGTCCCCGACATACTGCATGAGATCACTGAACGATGCCTACAAGTTTCGGCCTTGCTGAATGAGGGTGATCTCACCCGGGTACTTGTAGAGGGGACAAAGCTTGGACATTTTGATGACCTTTTGAATAGGGACCCCAGTAGATCTAACACCCCTTCTCCTGTTTATAACCTATCCCAGGTTTGTATGTTTGTTTGGCTTTATGATCACATCATTCATGTAATTGCCCATGTGCATTTATTAGGGAATATTGCAAAACTTCTCGCCTCCATTAAAGGTCCATTTGATTGCTTTTAGCTGTTTGAATTTTGTTTTTGTATTTTCCTTTAAGTTAAAATCTGCATGATTAAGTTAAGGTTTGACCTGCATAGCATGTGGTACTAGAAAAGATAATAGTCGTTGAATGTTTTGATCTGCTTTGTTTGCTTTCCAACTACCACTTTTTCTCATAATAAGCCCATGGGCATTTAAACAAAATTAATGCCTGATATTTTCACCATAAAGCCCCATGGGTGTTACTTTGTTCTTCAATGAAGATGCCTTATTTCAAGAAAATCTAGCATCCTCAAAAGCAATGTTTCTGAATTGTATTGATGGATTGAACCCATGCTATTACAAAACTGTTCAAATCAATTTTGATAAACAGCAAATTTCAAATATTTCAGGAACTTTACCAGCCAACTGCACAAAGAATCTCTGCTTCGTCACCATACAGTAGCATCAATGACATCACAGATCATTTCAATGATCTCTCATTGTCTATGGAGAGAAAACCTGGGAAACGACCTCCAAGCACCTACTTGTGCCATCTATGTTTCAACAAGGGGCACTACATCAAAGATTGTCCACAGGTAAGTTATATTAAAATAGTGTTTATTATGTCACCACTGCAAGTTGTGACATTTTGCTATAGTCTCCAATTTTTTTGTGGACAGCTGTTGGTGTTTAGCATCCAGCGGTCAGCATCTGTAACAAATGGCATGTGTAATGCAGGTAGTGACATTCTGCATGATTATGCCTTGTATAGCTTTGTTTTCCTTATATTTGTTCTTGTATTTTTTTATGGCACACTCCTTTAACTAACATCAATTCAACAAGTAGTATAAGAAATTGGTAAGAAATTGTATGAATGTCCATACACACTTACACACAAATATATTTTCAAAAAAGGCATATGTGTAGCCTAAAGTATCTCAATTTAGTAATTTTACTGTGGTGAAACCTGGGCATTACCCTAATATTTAATTGCCTTGGCCTTTATTACCAGATTAGAAGTCAAATGTTCAAAATGTAGATGTAGAGTAGCTGCATCTGAGAAGTTTCCCTTTAGGTCTGAAAAGAATAATGAAATTAGTTAAGCTTGATATTAATGCTTATTTAGATAAACTTATTTGAAGGAGGTCTTAATGGTGTGAATCTTGAATTTATTGTGCAATGACAATTGTTGGATGGATTTTATGAGTCATTGGGCCTATTATTCATATCCTTGATATCATGAGAACTTGTTCTGTATACTGTTTGAGGGGTTTAGTTCTTTAAAAGTTTAATTTGAGGTCATGTGAATGAATAGCACATAAGATATTAAAGTAGAAATAAAGAAAGGGTATTGACTGTTCCATGTATGGGAAATGTAAACTTGAATAACAAAGACTTGTGGGAAAAAATAAACATGTTTGAAAAATAATTGATTGCTAACAGTATACCAGATGATAAAAATATATATAAATATAATGTCCTGCTTCAATTAATTCTGAGAATTAAATTCATCTGAATGAAATATTGACATTAATAATCCAGCCAGTTTCCTGTTGAGATAAAGCTACTGAGGTAATCAGCTTTAATTACAGCTATTTATGTAAGTGTTCTGGAACTTCTATTTATATCACTGCATCATCAATGTTCAAAATATTATCTCTTATAAGTCGAGGAAATACATAATTTCTTAACTTCCTATTATAAAAGTAATAGTATTGCCATTTCCCTTCTCTTAATCTTGAATTTGGATTCCTAAGGTTTGAGGCCTCTCTGATGCCCCCCCCCCCCCAATTTGACATCCTAATGAAGTATTTTTATTTGTTCTTTTCATGCTATAATACTGTTCAAGAATAAATACAATATTTGTGATAAGTGATTCACAGGGCATTTTGATGGTGAAATAACTTTGGGAAAGAACCCCCAAAAGAACCCGACTTCTCAAAAAGTCATCTTGAGGATCACTTTCTAAATCTAGATTTTGTGAAACATAAACATGACATTTAGAACTAGACTCCAAGAGAAGCTTAGTGGTGGGCTGTTTTTCTGTAGATGAAATGATTTAGGTCATGTTTTAAAATCAAAAATAGAGAAAAAACGGAGAATCAAAGACTTGAGAAATTAATTTACTTTCAGCACTCTAAATCATACATCAATGCTAGAAAATCTCACACTTTCTTCAAATCTTAAAGAGAAATATAATGAAATAGAACAATCGGAATAATATTTGAGGCATAAGTTAAATGCATAGAATCATGAACCTAATGTTGTTGCACTGAAAATGCCACAAGAAATATTACCAATTGTCATCAATAGGGAACTTCCTTTTAACAACAACACAATTATGTTTGCATCTGGTTCTTCTGCAAGGTGAGTAGTGATGGAACTTGAGAAGTTCTGGCTTCAGAGGCAAGTGATGGAGATAAGCAGTTTCTGCACAAGCAGAAAATAACTTTTATACGCCATATACTACGAGTAGGCTTATCCTAGTTTAGCATGTAAATATGAACTACCTTTTGGCAGTCTTTACAAGTTAATGTACATGTAAAGATCTAATTTTGTTGTTGAAAAACCAAAATGTCCAGTCCATTTCTTTAAAGATAAAAAGACCAGAAAATCAGCTTTACGACCTATTACATTTTCTTCAATCAGTTTGAATGTTTATTTAAAACAATACATATGAATCCTGTGTTGCTTCAAAAACCTGTTAAATCATGTTAAAAACATGTTAAATCATATTATCTCTACCTCATTTTACAGTAGATGGGTTATTAAGTTATTCCATCTTTGGATCAAAGAAAAATACATGTACCAACTTATATATTTCAAAAGTAAAAATTGCAATATGCCAAATGAGTTGTCTGCTGTTTCAGAACAACCAACGTCATAATCTTAAAACTTGCCAATGAAATGAGAATAAAACAAGGCAATTAAAATAGAATAAAATTTGAAGATCTTTTGAATGATATGTGAAGTGCCCCCTAAAACATCACAGTTCCCTCAAATGAATAAATAATGACCCAGCCAAAAATTGATAATAACTATAACACTTTCTTTGTCTCCTACTTTGATGTTTCACAATTGAAGACATGTGCTCTCAGTTAGAGGTCTGGGGTATATCACAGGGGCACAAGCCTCTATTTATCTTGATAAATCACCAGATTGACCATAAAGTGTGACAAGTAAACAGCCATGTGATTCCAGACAGTGTGAACTTTTAATTCATAAACAATTCCTATATCTATTTCCCATTGTTAATGAGAGAATTCTGAACATTTAATGCAAGACATTGGTGTTAAGCCACGATGATACCATGAGCACATGCTTTGAGGATCCGCGTTGTTTGGGTCTGCTTTACCCCCCCCCTCAACTCATATAAGGAAGAAAAGGGGGAACATTGGGGTTCAACTAAAAAATATAGGACAAAAAAATTCTATAAAATGAAAGAATAGCAAATGCAAAGTTTAGTGCATTGGATATGTTAAAGATAATGAGCAACATGGTGTATCAACAGATCAACTATCAAGGGGGAGGGGGTCAAGCAGTATTCTATTACTTATAAATGGACTATTAATCAGCAGTGAACATTATCATTAACTTTCCACATGTGTGTGGCATATGTTAAACATGAAAAGTCTGGCAAATATAACTCTTGGCTTCTGATTGTCCATATATTGTAACAAAGACAGTTAATTTAGATAGCCTGAATGACATGCCTGTTGCATCTTAAATAAATAGAAATAGAAATAGACATCAAATGAGGGTTATATAAAAAATGGCGTGATTTTTATGCCAATTAATTTTGAGGGGAGGTACTCATGGATAGCTATTTTTAATGAGTTTTCAATGTATAGCTATATTGATAAATGTTACATAAATTTTAATGAGTTTTCAATGAGTCTGCCCCCCCCCCCCCCCCCCCCGGAGCTGAGAAGCTAATACAGAGATAGGTAGGATTAGGAGGCCACCTCCAATGGGCCCATGCAGGACATCCATTTAGAAGGAACATACAATAAATCAAAATATAAAATGATATTTAAGATTATTAATAATTTTATTTTAATTAATCTATTTAACTCAATAGCATAGTCAGATAAATCCATATAGAAGGTAAACATATGAAACTAGAATAGAATGTCTTGCCAGTAAACCATATGCCCCGTGTCAAACACACTCCTGAAGTATTGATAAACACAAACTCCTTGGAAAATACACAAAGTTGTTAATTGTAGGCACTGATTCCTTTTCCAAATGCTTAACATTTCTTACATTTCTTTCTCATATTTAAATTTTGATGACATCCAAAAGGTTAGCTCTAAACACCATCAGGATTTTAGCTTTCAATGTGCACTTTAAAGTCCCCATGTAAAGTTTGAAAATGTGTTCTTATCATTCATTTATCAAATTGTACAGTACAGTGCAAAATGTCTTTTTTACACCAATCCAAAGATTGAACATTGAGTCAAGTTCAATTTCCTTCCTTTCTGCATGAAAATAAAATCTTGGTAACTCATGACTGTGGAGTGAACCATATGTTTTTGAGGGATGGCTCCGAAATATTAATTTATTCAAATATCTGGTTCATCAAAATAAGCATCAAATGAGTGATTCAAGAACATGTAAGGTTATTTTAGTTTTGTCTGCCCACACATATGTCTTTCTTACTAATGAAAAGGACAGACATGTTTTGATGCTAACAAGATCTAAGTGATACCAAAAGTGTGTGTCAGTGAATATAAAATAGATGCAAGCAACTTTTGAAGGGTTACAAGTTTGTGATTGCAATATGATTGGGTACCTGAATTTTGATTAACCCATTCTGATTGGATAAGGCTACATTACATATTTCAATACATTTTTAAAAGAAGCATTTACCTTTTTAGATGGAGATGTTATGGAAATGTTTACATTCCCTAAAATCCTAATGAAACTTCCCCAGTCTGAATTATAATTCTTATATTTTAGAGTAGGATATCCAGTACATTCATTCATTTTACAATTCTACAAATTGTGATATCAAAACTCAAGTATCTATCAAGTTACCATGGTAACCATGACAGTTATCCCTTTCCTTTGGAGTTAATGTACTTTCAAGATAAGGCAAAGCCCTAGTATATAGGTT